TAGAGTCATTTTCTTCATGTCTCAAACATTTTCTATTCTATACCATGCATGTAGTTTTTGAGTAGCTCTGAGTGTAGTTTTTGTGGGCTCCGAGTGGGCTGTATCAAGTCACCGTGTGAGCTTCAAATGGAAGTGTCGAGAATTTAGCTAAGCTACTCCATGATATTCCTGCCTTGGCATTCATTTTGTTTGGCCAAGTCACCTATGGGGGTCTTAAACTGACACCAGCCCCCCAATGCGAGTGAATGCCCCCCAATGCGAGTGAATAGCCTGCAGAGTTATAAGCAAATGTTAAGTTTCCGATATGACTTCCCCAACTGCCCTTGTAATGAAGTCTCTCCCGCTTCCCAGGCCCTTCCCCTTGTGAGTCCTTTAGAGAAGGCTCCATGGGGCTCACCAAAGCCCTGTTCATTTTTGGTTTAAATTGACTAATCTGGCCTTAGCTTGGGAACCACAAAGCACTTTATCCACAGACCCAAATACAGGCATGTGCCCCAGGTCCTGCTCTCTCTCTCTGTCTGCACCTTGCTTGGACCCCCTCACATGTCCCCTCCGGCCTGTTGTGTATTTCCTCTAGGACCTGTGAGTAATCAACTCTATTTTGATTTCTCTTGTGGTCTTTATAGAACTTGGGCTCACCCTCTGGCACTCTGTGCACCACTTAACAAATGTTAATTTAACAAAGTCACAACAGACCATTAATGACCTTGTCTGCTGATAGCACTTTGTCTTTAGTCCACTGTAGAATCACCTGAAAATCATTACTTATGAAGTGTTTTTTTTGATAATGATAAAAGAAGGTAAAGAAGGAAAACATTGAGCTATTGAGAAAAAGGCAAACTGTTTCAATATAATCTTGAATCTTAGTTTAAAATAACATGTCCAAGGAAATAAGCATTTACCTTCTCCTGCAGAAATGTGGACTCCATCATGGCCGTTTCAAAGCTGTGAGCACCCTCTGCCTGTGTCTTCTCCCACAGAGATCTGAGAAATTGCACAGAACGACTTTGTATGGACAGGGGCTCCGGAAATAGGCTCTGAAAAGGAATTAATGAGAAAAACAACACTTTTTTTCTGGTCTCAACAATATTGTTTGATTGACTACAAGACACTATTTGGTTTAGTTTGATCTTTAACATGATTTAAATTTAAATAAAACAACAAAGAAATCTATCTTGAAGATCAAACATATAATACATTTTAGGTTTTTCATTTTTAACAGAAAATTAAAATTGTTGAATAGGATTTTCAAGGCAGTCGCTATTGATCTCTATAAATATGCCTAAGTTTTGTAATGTAGTATTTATCTCAGTCATTTCCCAAGCATGTTTCCAAACTGGAAAATAGTTAATATAAATATTCATATTTATTTTTACAAAGATCTGAAAATTAAGGTATAAAGTTAAAGCTAGAGTACAAATATCAGAATAGATGATGAAGACTAGAAATTAAATAACTAATTGTTTGTTATGCAACTACTCAAAAATGAACAGTGTGAGTGGGCATGCGAGGGAACAAAAACATTTTTAATCCTAAAATGTAAAATGGATGAATATTCCAAGAGCTTTAAGATACTCTAAGTTTTATATAATAAGATTGTTAGTGTAAAAAAAAAATCATGTTTATATATATTTCATTAAAACTAATGAAAATAAAAATTTCAAAGAAAGATTTAGAGTGTGTTTGTATATTTACTCATCAATTATGTTTTTAATAGTCACTTACATGTTGTGATGTTATACCTATAAATGTGAGAAGGTTTCAATACAAGGGCGCCATTTTATAAAAATATACAGAACATCAACTAAGGGCATGAAATATTATTTATATACATATAATGCCATGAGTATTATACTTTATGTATAATAAAATATTGATATTGGCTTATAAAATCCTATTTTCTATGTCAATGACATTCAAGCATTAACTTATGAGACTCTCTAGGTTGTTTGTGTATATAAAGTTTCTATTTAGTAAATAAAAATCAGTAAATTTTCTTCCAGTAACGATCTCATTATTATCATCAAGATTATCTGTTTCTTATACTGAGTGGGGAAAGGTGGAGAATTTTATAGCCTGTGTAAGTGGCCCACAGATTAAAAAAGCTAAGAGCCAGTAACAGATAAATTGATTATGCAACCATAATGTAGACATAACTGGAAATTTCTTAATTATTATCAGAAACTTATATAGTACATGATTTTTTCATTTAAAGAGGAGCAGAACTGGGTTTAATTCATTATCAGTCCAAAGAGGAGCATTTAGACTGGAATCAGTGAATTTAAGAGCTCCACAAATGTGTTAAATTCTAGAAGAGAAACAGTCTGGCCCACCATATAAGGCTAGTACTAGGCTTGTAATCATCAAGTCAAAGAATTGATTTTTATTCAAATCTTTTATTGATATTGTGAAGTCCGGGCTCATCCAGACCACTCAATATCAAAGGTGTGGAAAAGAAGAAAAAGCAACATAGACAGATGCTTTTTGGCCATTTTGCCTAAAAGAAAGGCAAAGGATCAGACTAGGTAAATAAAATGAGACCCAGGAACAAAAATAAAAGCATGTTTTCTTGGTTTGTTTTCAGAAAACTGACAACTGTTAAGAAGAAAGGCAAAGATGAAGCCAAATACAAAATCACCCATGAAAACTATTTGAAAAATATAAGTAAAGTAGAAGAAAAATAGGTCTTCATTTCAAGAAAATGAAGAAAGAGCAATGCTGTTTTTCATATTCCAGTACAATTTGATTCACATCAAAATGTGAGTTGTTCTCTATGAGGTGTTAATAAGTCTTCTTAAGAAATTTAATACGGGAAAAGATGATAGTCTTAAAACATCTCTAAGTAGTCTCTTTTCTTAATTACTATAGTTACATCTATGATTACGATATATTCAGCATTAATCTGCCTTTATAAAGAAATATAACTATCTGGTTGGTGACTTTTGTAGAGGCTATTATAGAAATGTTTTATTAATACAAGTAAGTAAACTATCTTATCACTTGGCCTAATTTTTAACCATTTTAAAACATTTGCATTCTGTTTTTTCTGCCTCCTTCCTTCCTGCACCCACCTGCATTTTTATTTTTCAACACAAAGGCAACAGCGAAAAGGCCACTGGACCAGGAGTCAGGTGGCCTGAGTTCAGCCCTTTAATTTTCTTATCTATAAAAATAATATCTAAGATCCCTTCTACTGCTAACATTTTATAATCTATATTCAAAATTTTTATGAAAGTTTAATGCATTCAAGATAAGTATTTCCAAATAAGAATCTCTTTTGATGCTAAAATCTTTGCATCAAATTTTCATTGTTAAGTTCAAAGTTCCTCTTTATGCAATTTTACCTGTACATATATTCCATGGGAAAGGTAGCATTCTAGTTTTTTAACAAAGTTGAAAAGAATATGTTGACACAAAAATTAACTGGAGATTGAAAGACCGTAAATAAAGGCTCGCTCTACACAAGGGAAGTTATTCCTCCATATCAGCTGGGATTTGTCGTTGTTGCCCTTGTTTAACCAAAAGCATTTTCCCTTTTGTTCTTCTTTTTTAAAAGTAAGGATATCAAGATATTAATAGGTTTGGCTTCCTGATTAGTAATCCAGGGCCTTTTATAAGGAAACTATCCTAAAATATAGAAAATCCTTATTTAAAAATTAGTAATGAAATGTATATATATATATTGCTGTTATCTACATATCTACTTTGGTCAAAGAATAATTCAGTAAAAATGATTATAAATGCATAGCCCACTGACTCATTAAGGAGCCATGATGAACACGAATTATACGCACCTGCTGAAATAGAAACATGATCTGGATCCACAGCTGAGGTTCTTGGCTGATGAGAATAAAACTGGATTTACTGTATAGGCAGTAATGACCCTTCAAGGAGCAGGTGAAGAACAACTTGGCTACACAACTTTTAACAGAGTCTATAAACAAATACACATAGCATTAAACATTAGATTCTTCCTAGAGTTACATTTTATTCTTCAACACACAAACACCTTTAGAAATGCATACTTAGTTTTCAGTTTGTCAACTAATAACTTCAAACAACTTTGTATTTGGGAGTGGACTCAATTCATAGAATGTAGATTTAAATACAGATGCTTTAAACAAGCTATATTTTATCCATCTTTCTCTTGTTTTAATTAACAATGCATGAGGAATCTCCAAATGACTCACATGGAAGAAAAAAAACTTCTTTCCAATAAAGAAGGAGATATCATGTGATATCTGATTTCTGTCTGATTTGGGCACCTTGAAATGATAACCTAGAAAGAATAAGCAACCAGATCAAGGAAACCCAGGCTTTTCCTGGGCAGTGGATGGTGTGCATGAACCAGGGGCACTGTTCTCTTGGTTGTGCAGGACCCACACTGACAGCCTCCAGAATACCTCTCTCCAGAAGTGTAGCTTCCTATGAACTGTCCTGGTCTGGTTCCAAAAGGTCATTTTATCTTGAAGAGCTTCAGCAGAGAAGCTTAGTTAATATTGTCCTTCAGAGACAAGAAAGTAGGGGATGGTGGAGGTGGCAGCAGATAGCAAAGGTGGTGAGAAGCCATATGTTGGAGGAGCCATTCAACATTTACGATCCTACAAGACGGGGCTTATTATTTCTATTTTAAAGATGAGGAAACTTAGCCCATTTGAGGGTCAGCTTAGTGGACCACTCTCACTGCCTTGTTCACCCTATGACCTTGGCATGTGACACACAATAGATGTTCCACAGAGAGTATCTGGACAGATGAATAATGCTCAGGGGTTCAGAAAAAAATTGCTCAAGCCTGCCTAATCTGTGGCAGAGCCAGGATTTGAACTCAGCTGAGCCGATAACCATGTTGGAATGCTTTAGACACTGGGGATATACCATACTGGGAATTTTAAAATCTGTAGTCAAATTAACAGTTCATGGGGGGATTTATTGTTTCAGAATTAATCTGACATTTTAAGTGGAATATTTTGAAATTTAATAGATTCACTGTGCCGTAGTATTAAAAATGAAATGTAATAGACTTTGTTAAAAGTCAATGGGGACCCTAATAAGGTGCCAGAGTCAGTCCCTACCTACGAGGATGCGTTGGATTCCTTTGGAAGGTGAGGAGGCTTCTCTGTGCACCATCGGGGATCAGGTGTGAAGGCATAACAGGTTTTTCAGGAAGAGTTCGGAAGAGTTAAGGGAGACTGGCCAGTGACAGATTAGAGGCGAAGGCACTGGAAACAGAACAATAAAGTCATAGGGCCATTTAGAAATATATACTGAAATCTTAATAATATTAACAGCTTCCTGTGATTCTGAAATATTGGTATGAGAGAGAACTAGTTCTCATGAAATTAATTGTTTGGGGGAACTAAACAAAGATTGGGGTTGGGCATTCAGTATCTGCATATAAAATCAGAAATTATTTCTACATTCTGTGGGTGAATGGATCATAAGATGTAAAGAGGGCTTGAAGGTTGGAAAGACCCCAGAATAGAACAGAGCACACTATCAGCTTAAAATGGCCTTATGAGAAATTGTTTGACAATGGTAGTTAGAAATATTATTTTGGGCACTGATGCTCCGAAAAATGGAATTTAAATTAATCTATGCTAAAGAAATAGCAAACCAAGTCTACCATAAAAGCACACACACAAAAACAGTATTTGCAATAAATCTAATATATGTATACATTGAGACAGCAACATGTTTTGCTTTAGCAGAAAGTTTCAAAAGGAAACAAAATTCTTTTCTAAGAACACATGCAGGGACCTGAGAGTCGCAAGTCGGATTTCAGGCCTCTGCCCCGAAAAAACAGGTTTTGTCTATTTCCTTGCCCTAAATTCTTGCTGCTCATTCATGTTTTCTTTTGAAAATGAACTTCGTTTGGATTTATTTTACTCACCCGGGGCCTACTAGCTTTCTACACACAAACTGCAGGGGTCCCAGAGCGCATAAAAGGGGCAAAGTGGTAGAAGAGAGATATCTAACTTAGAAGCATATACACTGGCTGGAAAAATAAATCAGTGCTGTGATAGAAAGTTTTGTTAATGCTTTCAGTAAGGCTGACCTGTATCAA